CTAAGGACCTCGTACCCCACTCCTTCCAGACCACCTAAGGACCTCGTACCCCACCTTCAGACCATCCCAAGGACCTCCTACCCTCCTTCAGATCATCCTAAGGACCTCGTACCCCCTCCTTCAGACCATCCTAAGGACCTCGTACCCTTCCCCTTCCTTCAGACCATCCTAAGGACCTCGTACCTCTTCCTTCAGATCATCCTAAGGACTTCGTACCCTCCCTCCTTCAGATCATCCATAAGGACCTCGTAATCCCCACCCTCCTTCAGACCATCCAAAGGACTCACTCCCCACCCTCCTTCAGACCATCCTAAAGACTCCGTACCCCCTTCCTTCAGACCATCCTAAAGACCTCGTACCCTCCCCCTTCCTTCAGACCACCTAAGGACCTCGTAATTCTTCCCCTTCCTTCAGATCATCCTAAGGACTCTGTACCCTCCCCCTCCTTCAGACCATCCAAAGGACCGTACCTCCCCACCCCCTCGTTCAGACCATCCTAAAGACCTCGCACCCCCTCCAGACCATCCTAAAGACCGTACCTCCTCCTAACTCATCCTTAAGACCATCCTAAAGACCTCGTACCCTCTCCTTCAGACTACCATCCTAAAGACCTGTACCTCATCTTCCAGACCATCCTAAGGGATCCTGTACCCTCCCCCTTCCTTCAGACCATCCTAAGCACCTCGTACTTCTTCCTGCCCTCCTTCAGACCATCCAAGGACCCTCCTCCTTCAGACCATCCCAAGGACCTCACCCCCTCCTTCTCAGACTTCTAAATCTCCTGTACCCTCCCTTCCTTCAGACCATCCTAAAGACCTCGTACCTCCCCCCTTCCTTCAGGCCATCCTAAGGACCTGTACCCTTCCATTCCTTCAGAGTCATCCTAAGGATTCTGCATCTCCCTCCTTCAGAGACTTCCTAATAACCTCTACCCCTCCTTCAAACCATCCGGGACCTCGTACCTCCCTTCCTTCAGACCATCCTAAGGACCTGTAATTCTCCCCCTCCTTCAGACCATCCAGTACCTCGTACCCCACCTTCAGACCATCCTGACCTGTACCCTCCTCCTTCATACCATCCTGGGATCACCTCCCGCCCTTCAGACCATCCTAAGGACTGCACTGATGTCTCAACGGCAGCAGCGAGGAAACAATGTTCGCGTCGAGACAATTGGTTTCACGGTCCTCAGCCTCCCTAAAAAGGTCGAGAACGTGTTCTATTCTATAGCAATCTGTCATCCCATCCAGCGGACTCGTCTTGACACTCCTTACAGCCGGAACTTTGGTGAACTGCGGCAAGAGTCTGATCGGCGTTGTTCGAATTTTGATGATAACATTGGAGGTTGAATGGAATGTCATCGTCATTGTAGGATTGGACTTGACGGTGGCAGGTTTGGTCTTGACGGTGATTGAATTTGACGGTGGTAGGATTGACTTGACGGTGGCAGGATTGACTTGGCAGGATTGGACTTCGATGTCAGGATTGACGTGCGTGCCTGTTTTTGGTGAGAGAGGCGGGTATCACTAAGTAAGGCCTGAGGCTTATCACCACACTAGTTAGCTACGACTTTTTACATATCGGTTTGGAGACATTGTTACATAACTATTTGACAAATTTCATAACCGAATGACAGAACATATCGAATGACAATCTAAAATAACTGTTGGTGGTATGTATTCGCCAATTATTACATTCTCAAACTATATGTAAACGTCGGTTTATTGTTCACGTCTGTCAACTTCATAACTTATGTCAATCACTTCCGTTAGCATGAACGAACAGTTATTTTAGATTGTCAATCGATATGTGTTCTGTCATTCGGTTATGAAATTTGTCAAATAGTTATGTAACAATGTCTCAACGAATATGTGAAAAGGTGTATTTCTTCACTTTTTAACATCAGGCAAGGTTTAAAGATGTAAAAACTGCTTGATAAGTCTTTTTAGGGCTGAATGGAGCACGGTGGAGTTCACTGACCTGTTTTGGTAAGAGAGTGGGCATCACTAACCCCGCGTCTCTCACTGAAGTAGGACCTACAGTTTCCAATCTTTAATTTTCACTTTGATATTATTCTGGTTCTCACATATACACTTTCCTATCTATTGTGACCTTATGCCTTATAATTATATATCTTAATCCTAAATTACATACTAAAGTAAGGATCTGGTTTGCCAGTTCCTGGGGAAATTAATTGGGCTATATCATTAACTCAAAACTGTAGCCCAGGGCAGAATGGACGCCAACCCGATTAAAGCCTAGCGTCGTATTTTCATGACGTTAGGTATATCCACTTCACTTCAATCTGTATTTAGGGATCCTCCCCTCACACGTTGCAATCGTTGAACACATTCATAAGATTTTCTGATCATTGCATTGTTCGTGGTTATTCGTCACAGGAGATAACGAAGTGTATTAAGCTCACACCGAGGCATACAAGATATTTTCTTTGAAGTAGAGTTTCTGGATCACTTCCAACACTTCACATAGGTCTGATACATTTAACCTACGGTAGCTATGTTCACTAATCGTTCACAGACGTATATAGTATGACCTTCAAACATGATCTATGCTTATCCCTTATAGTACACTAGTCCGTATCAATTGGACCTTCCCAATTATCCTATAGATACCTTGAGTTCTCCTTAATGCTATAAGTACATACACTTAATATTATATGACCGTACCTTGGTACAATTCGTATAAAACCACATACAGTAGGTGAGTTATCCTTTACCAACGTTTCCCGTTTTCTGTGACTACAAGTGCGGTGGATTTGAATGTTATGTAGCGTCATATGAATAAAAGAGATAATAAGGATGACAGTACAGGGTGTTGATATGAAGGACCTCACGTGGTCATGAGGACACCGTGTGGTGTGGTGTTCACGTGGTGCAGTGACTCGTTCTTGGGTGTTGATATGAAGGACCTCACGTGGTCAGGGGAACCCGTGTGGTGTGGTGTTCACGTGGTGCAGTGACTCGTTCTTGGGTGTTGATATGAAGGACCTCACGTGGTCAGAACCGTGTGGTGTGGTGTTCACGTGGTGCAGTGACTCGTTGCTGGTGATATGAAGGACCTCCGTGGTCAGGGGAACCCGTGTGGTGTGGTGTTCCGTGGTGCAGTGACTCGTTCTTGGGTGTTGATATGAAGGACCTCACGTGGTCAGGAACCCGTGGTGTGGTGTTCGTGGTGCAGTGACTCGTTCTTGGGTGTTGATATGAAGGACCTCACGTGGTCAGGGGAACCCGTGTGGTGTGGTGTTCACGTGGTGCAGTGACTCGTTCTTGGGTGTTGATATGAAGGACCTCACGTGGTCAGGGAACCGTGTGGTGTGGGGTGGTGTCACAGTTTGTGAGACAATATGTAATGATTATTGGAATTCCACCAGTAAACCACCTGGGGAATTCGAGAGTCCTCAGCTGGCTTTCCCTGTGTGTGTGTGTGTGTGTGTGTGTGTGTGTGTGTGTGTGTGTGTGTGTCAGTTTGCGTATATGGACTTGTGTGTATAGGCGTGTGTGTATATGGACGTGTGTGTATAGGCTTGTGTGTATATGCATGTGTATAGGCGTTTGTGGTTGGTTATAATAAGATCACGGTGTTATAACCACAACAACAACAAACAGTTATCCCTGAAATTACGTGCTATTAGAGAAAATGGAGTGATCATAAAGTCCTATGCACCTACGAAAAATAACACTTCATTTTGTTCTTTTGTTATACGCAAATTGTTGCACAGTTAATATTGGGAATGTTCTCCAGATATAACCTTATTGTGAAGATTTCCAACACTTGTTTCCACCATTTCCAACATTTTCTGGTAAATAATAATAGAAAATAAGTTAACCTAACTATTGCCTTTAATTGCTAAGATGCACATGAATTTTTTGATTACATGTAGGCTAAGAAAGATAACTTAACCTTTTGATGACGATGATTTAACCCTTTGAGGACGGTGACAACCCTTTGAAGACGATGATTTAACCCTTTGAGAATGACTTAAGCCTTTAAAGATGATAACCTAACCCTGCATTGAATATAACATTCCATTGTCTGTCTGTCTGTCCGTCCGTCTGTCAGTGAAATATGAGGTTGAACAGGAAAATTTGGATGCCGTAGTGTGCCAAAACTTAACTGACCATTCACAAGGTTCCACCGGCAAATGGAATCACGTGATATGGGTGATGTCAGTGATTGCGTGTGACTACCTGGAGGTACCTTTAGTCTCTGAGGGAGTTGGGTCAATACTATTGTTTTGGGTTATGTCATTATGCTCACTATATCTTCACTAATACTTATAATTAAATACAATGAATCTAGACGGTATAGGTAGACAGCCATTCAGGAACCAGGTAGACAACCATCCAGGAAGCAGGTAGACCCAACCAGGAAGCAGGTAGACCCAACCAGGAAGCAGGTAGACAACCAACCAGGAAGCAGGTAGACCCAACCAGGAAGCAGGTAGACAACCAACCAGGAAGCAGGTAGACAACCAACCAGGAAGCAGGTAGACAACCAACCAGGAAGCAGGTAGACCCAACGTGAAGATCGTCTCAAGTAATTACCTTATTTAAGTGTTCAATAATAAAAAAAAATCATTAACTAACACTGAGCTACACTTGCTACTTACATTCCTTTGACGTTACAATCGGGAATCAATAGACTGGAATGCTGGGAACATGAGGGGTGAATTGTGTAGTTTGAAAGTATTAAAAGAGTCATTTTGTTATATAGTTTGAAAGTAATTTAGTATTTTTACTATTATTTTTGTTTATAAATTGATATCACTAAATTCAGGTATGTACACATGCGTTCATGAACACATACATACATACATACATACTTACTTACTTACTTACTTACTTACTTACTTACTTACTTACTTACTTACTTACTTACTTACTTACCGTCAACATAGTCTATAAATTCTTAGAGACGCACCACGCATGCCTAGATTGGATATCGGACTCTGCCTATCTCACTTACACTGTCCCTCACTCTCACGTGGTTAGGTAGACACTACCTCCCGCTCTCCTACGCTCAGAGGTGAATTAACAGTTGTCGAAGCCTTGTATTCGTTTTTGGAAGTATAGCCAGTGTACCATTAACCCAAGATATATAATTTGATGTGTTAAGAATCGTCGAACTTGTGTATTGGTGTTTAGAAATCGCTTCTGAACCACAACGCCAAGAATTACGTATATTTCTTTATAAATAAACAGTTTGTATACAGATAATACAACGTGTATTAACCGGATGCTTACGAACCTGTATACTGGTGTTGTAAGGTAGAACTGTCTCACAAAGCCAAGAAAAAACAACTGTGTAGTATTGTCTTCGAACCCGAGTCCTGCAGTTGTAACGTAGAAACTGTCACAAAAGGTGGATTACTTCTCATCGAATCTATGTACTGAAGTTTACGAGGTGAAGAATCAAACATGTAAACAACTACAACCAACCAAACAAACAAGGAGTGAATTCATCAGCCAATCGTCAACCGATATACACAAACAAACAGACCAATAATATTGACAGCAATATCTACCGCCTTCAAGATGGGTTGTACCACAAGTGTCGTCTCCGTCCCAGAAGAGACCAACCTTACTCCAAGTGGCCTCGAGGGTGACCCATTGAGCACTACCTTGAGACAGAGGAGCTTAAAGGACTTGCAAGAGGAAGAGGAAGAAAGAGTCTCGACAATTAGTGATGGAAAGCTTACAGGCATTCACAACTATGGTAAGATGGAAGAAAATCTCGAACCTGGGTCACTTCTTAATGATGCTCTCAACTCATCCCAGAATGCCAATGATCGACCAGGTTCGACTGGATCTAGGTCGAATAGGTCTTCAGGTTCGGCCAGGTCCAAATCGACCAAATCTCTCATTTCCACCAAGTCCAAATCAACCAGATTAACCAATTCACCCAAGTCCAATATCTCGACTCGGCCAACCTCCCCTACTAATAGCATAGATCTCCCTGGTAAAGTTCCCCAGCCAACAGAAAACGAGGTGTGGGATGAAGGAACTGCTGAGAAAACTGGGGAACATATCTATAACACACAGACAGAGAAAATGGATAATAGTGTCCCTATATTTAATTCTGTCGATGTAAATATCAGCAAAGACAGTGAAGAATCTGACAATATAACTAACACAGAAAATGAAGAGTCTGGCCTCACGATAAGCAAAGAAAATGAAAATTCAAAGAGAACAAATGACATAGAAAACGAAAACCCCAAACCTACAACATCTACAGAAAACAGGGAATCTGATCCTCTACATGAGAATATAGAAAACGAAACATTGGTACCCCTAAATAAGATAGAAAATGGAAAATTTGGTCCTTTAATTAAGAAAGAAAATGGAAACTTAGAAGGGGTGACTTACACAAGAATGAAGAGAGAAACATCAGCTAGGTCAATTATATCAAGTGTTTCCTTCTCTCCTCCTTCTTCCTCTCCCTCCTCCTTCAAGAACAAAAATACAACACAGGAAAAATTTAAGTCATCCCTAAACTTCTCACTAACAGAAAACGGGGGACGGGACACAAAATATGAAAAAGACAATTCAATAGAAAATGTAGAGGAAGTTGCTAAAGCAAATGGGAAGCAGGAGACAGCAGTAGAAAATGAGGAGCAAGAAATAACAGGAGGTACTGAATTAGAAGAAGCAGGTAAAGAAAACGAAGGGGAAACTACAGTAGACCAATCGGGAGAAGATGCATTGATAGAAAGTGGGAAACAAGCGGAAGTAATCAAAGAAAACGGAGGAGAGGAAACAGCCTCAGAAAATGAGGAACATGAAACAACAAGTGGAGGTTAGTGACATTGTATGTATGTATGTACAGTATGTATGTATGTATGTATGTGTGTGTGTATGTATGCAAGTAAATCACTGTAGGTGCGCGTGATCCAGGTACATGCTGATAACCACAAGGAAAAAGAAAGCACGAAGTTCCCAAGCACTTTCGTGTAATTCACATCTTCAGGGGTAAGTACAGACTAAGGAGAACTACAAAACAAGGTGTATATATACAGAGGAGGGTGAGACCAGGTCCACAATGGTCAGGTATTAGGTAATGACCTTACTAATCTTTAAAAAGCACCTCAACGGTTGGTAGTCAGGTCAGAGGGTAAGGTGACCCAACCTTCTCACCTGGTTACAAATCTTCTTAATTACAAAATTGTCCAGTTTGTACATGCCATTACTCTGAATATATACACCTTGTTTTGTACTTCTCCTTAGTCTGTACTTACCCCTGAAGATGTGAATTACACGAAAGCGCTTGGGAACTTCGTGTTTTCTTTTTCCTTGTGGTTATCAGCATATAAGAACATAAGAACATAAGAAAATAAGGAGTCTGCAATAGGCCGGTTGGCCTGTGCATGGCAGCTCCTGTCGAGAGTTACTACCACTCTCTATCATCCATGAATCTATCTAGCCTCCTTTTGAAACTTTCCAGAGTTCCAGCACTTACTACAAAGTTGCTAAGATTGTTCCACTCGTCCACCACCCTATTTGTGAACCAGTTTCTTCCTATCTCCCTCCTAAACCTAAACTTATCCAACTTGAATCATTTAATAAAGGTCTGTTCTGATATTATAAGAACTTTATCTATATCCCTTTATTGATTCCGTTCACCCCACTTGTCCTTCTATCATATCTCCCCGCACTCTTCGTCTTTCTAGGAATGCAAGTTAAGTTTCTTTAACCTATCCTGATGATATGGAAGGTTTCTAAGTCCGGAATCATTTTGTCGTCTTCGCTGCACCGACTCTAGTGAATTGATATCCATTCTATAATAAGGGCACCAGAACTGAACCGCATAATCGAGGTGCGGCCTGACCAGCGCAAGATATAGTTACAATAAGACCTCTGCACTCTTATTACTTACACTTCTAGATATAAAACCCAATACTCTGTTTGCCTTATTTCGAACATTAACGCACTGTTTTCTAGGCCGTAGGTCCGGGCTTATAAGTACCCCTAGGTCTCTTTCACAAGTATGTATGTATGAATGTATGTGTGTATGTATGAGTACTTATTCCTACATATACTGTCAAGTGTATTGAATGTACAGTCGGGTTCAAAAGTCTTGAACACTGAGCAATATCTGGCATCTACTTCTGAGTTATACATATATGATTGGGATATACTAATAACACTACTTGTCATCACATATTATGACTGAACCACAAAATGGGATAAAACTCTCCTTAATACCTAAGATCTTCGGGTACTTACATGCCAAATGCTGTTAAGTGTTCAAGACTTTTCACCCCGACTGTACATGTACTGTATGTATGCACGGTATATATAAATATGCGTATATCTTAAACTGTGCATACCATGACGTGTGTGTGTGTGCGCGCATTCCTCACATACCAGATAGTGATTCAGATGTAAGCATGACTAGCGTATGCATACATGTGTGTGAGCCTTGCGGGAATGTGTATGAATCTGACTCTGTATACATTTAATCAATATTGAAATAGAACTGCGGACAAAATTCACATAATGCGTACAGTATACTCCCAGCACGTACAGTATATATGATTGGTGCATATCGTATAACACGGTGGTATACACAGTACTTTATATCACTGTTTTTCATCACAAATTATGTTACGAATCACACAATGTAAAATTACTCCTAAGTACTGAAAAAAAATCAGTTTGTTTGTATAGTCTATGTAAATGTGTATTGTATGAAGGAATATAAACACACACACACACACACACACACACTCACACACACACACACACGCGCGTGCTACTTGAACATAATCCGCTGAAATATGTCGCAACTGAAAAATGCGACACGTTAAGTCAACCTTAGAGCGTTAATCATCGTGCTACCTGAAGATTAGACTCCGCAGCTTATTCTACCTCATGCTCAAACAACCTAACACTTCCTTAATCTTGTCTGTCTGCCAACCCCCCAAAAACAAACACCCCCAACCCACCCACACAAACCCCCAACAACCAAAAACTTTCTGTCTGTCTGTCTCATAGCTTGTCTGTCTGTCATTGATTGGCTGTTTGCCTGTCTCATAATTTTGTTTATTTGTCGTATCATAATTCCCGTCTGTCTCATAGCTTTCTGTCTGTCATTGATCTGTTTCTGTCCAAACACAAACTTATCGTCTGTCTGCATAGCTTGTCGTCGTCAGATTGGCTGTTTGCTTATCTGTCTGTCTGTCTCATAGCTTGTCTGTTCGTCATTGATTGGCTGTTTGCTCGTCTCATAATTTTTGCTTATTTGTCTGTATCATAACTTATCTGTCTGTCTGTCTCATAGCTTGTCTGTCTGTCATTGATTGGCTGTTTGCCTGTCTCATAATTTTGTTTGTTTGTCTGTATCATAACTTATCTGTCTGTTTGTCTGTGTCATAACTTGTTTGCCTCTGTATGTCTGTCTGTTTATCTGTCTGTCTATCATTACCTGTTAATGTAGTATTATTTAAGAGGCAGACAAGTTTAAAGTATGGTGACTTTAGGTACTGGTAATGATTCTAACACCTAATTATCTCCCTCTAGATGGTGATTCTGCCCTTAAGAACACACCAAACCCACAAAAAGAATCTCCCAGACCACAAGAATCACTAATGAGAAACCCTAGCAAGTCAGCGAGGTCTATGGCAGTGTCCATCAGTGACTTGTTGAGCGACAGTGATATAGTATCCAGCAGTGATATGTCAACACGAGCTTCAAGTGCTAAGAAAGATTCTATCGACGATTCTATGGCTGTCAAGGGGAATATTAGTCACAAGGATGATTCTATTGTCATTGGGGTGGATTCTGCTACTGTTAAGGGTGATTCTAATAGTATCAAGGTGGATTCTGCTGACGTTGAGGAATCTGCGACTGTTGAGGGTGATTCTATTAACGCTAGAGTGGATTCTGCTATTGTTAAGGGTGATTCTATTGACACCAGGGTGGATTCTGTTACTGTTAAGGGTGATTCTATTGATTCCAGGGTGGATTCTGCTACTTTTAAGGGTGATTTTAATATTATCAGGGTGGATTCTGTTGACGTTGTGGATTTTTCGACCATTAAGGGTGATTCTATTGACGCCAGGGTGGTTTCTGTTACTGTTAAGGGTGATCCTCATGACACCAGGGTGGATTCTTCTCTCCAGGGTGATTCTAATAATACCAGGGTGGGTTCTGCGACTGTTAAGGAAGATTCTATTGACCTTGTGGATTCTACTTCTGTTAAGGGTGATCCTCATGATACCAGGGTGGATTCTTCTCTTAAGGATGATTCTAATAGTACCAGGGTGGATTCACCTACTGTTAAGGATGATTCCACAGAAGTCAATGATAATGACAAGGAAGATTCTAGTGCCAAAAGAGTGAATGTTGAAGCATTTAAGAGTGATTCTATTGATGTCTATGAAGATCCAGGCATAAAGAATGATTCTTGTGGCTCCAATATTGTATCTACAAAAATCATGGGTGATTCTAATGACACCAGGGATGATTATGTAACTGTTAAGCATGATTCTAGTTGTGTTATTGAAGATTCTAACACCAAGAATGATTCCAGTAGCACCAAAGAGGATTCAGAAACAGTGAAAGATGATCCCACTAACGTCAATGAAGATTCTAACGACAAGAATGATTCTAATGACACCTGGATAGATTCTGCATCTCTCAAGGGTGATTCAGGAAATGTCGAAGGTGATTCTGGTACTATCGAGAGTATTTCTGGCACTGTCCAGGGTGATTCTGGCATTATCGATGGTGATTCTGGCACTGTCGAGGGTGATTCTGGCACTATCGATGGTGATTCTGGCACTGTCGAGGGTGATTCTGGCACTGTCGTGGGTGATTCTGGCACTGTCGAGGGTGATTTTAGCACTGTCGAGGGTGATTCTGGCACTGTCGAGGGTAATTCTGGCACTGTCGAGGGTGATTCTGGCACTGTCAAGGGTGATTTGGCACTGTCGTGGGTGATCCTGCACTGTCGAGGGTGATTCTGGCACTGTCGAGGGTGATTCTGGCACTGTCGAGGGTAATTCTGGCACTGTCGAGGGTGATTCTGGCACTGTCGTGGTGATTCTGGCACTGTCGAGGGTGATTTTGGCACTGTCGAGGGTGATTCTGGCACTGTCGATGGTGAATCTGGCACTGTCGGGTGATTCTGGCACTGTCGAGGGTGATTCTGGCACTGTCGAGGGTGATTCTGGCACCGTCGAGGTGATTCTGGCACTGTCGAGGGTGATTCTGGCACTGTAGAGGGTGATTCTGGCACTGTCGAGGGTGATTCTGGCACTGTCGAGGGTGATTCTGGCACTGTCAAGGGTGATTCTGGCACTGATGAGGGTGATTCAGTAACAGTGAAGGATGATTTTACAGAAGTCATTGAAGATTCTAGCGACAATAATCATTCTAATGACACCAGGATAGATTCTACATCTCTCAGGGGTGGTTCTGGCACTATCGAGGGTGATTCTAGTGATAAGATCGATTCTAGTGGCACTAGGGTGGATTCAGCAACTATCAAAGGCGATTTTAAAGCCAGTAATGATTCTTACGGTACCAGGGTCGATTCTGCAATTGTTAATGGAGATTCTACAAGCCTGGGTGGTAATTCTGATGGTATAAATATTGATTCTAATGATCAACTTGAGTCTACAAAACTGGTGGCTGATTCTACAGATGTGAGGACTGATTCAGAAGTCCTTACTGGTGATTCTACATCTTTGAAGGTTGAATCAGAAGGCCTTAATGGTGAGTCTCATAATAATGGTGATTCTACAGTTGTCAGAGATGATTCAGAAGTCCTTAATGGTGATTCTACAAGTATTAAGACTGATTCAGAAGTCCTTATTGGTGATTCTACATCTTTGAAGGTTGAATCAGAAGGCCTTAATGGTGATTCTCATATTAATGGTGATTCTACAGATGTGAGAGATGATTCAGAAGTCCTCAATGGTGATTTTCATATCAATGGTGATTCTGGAAATGTTAAGGCCGACTCAGAAGGTCCTGATGCCAATGTTAATATCAAAAAAGATTCTACAAATCCTAAAGATGGTTCTATGAGTACACAGAATGACTCTATGAGTTTGAAGAATGATTCTACGAGTATACACGATCCTAAAAGCCTGAAATTTGATATTATAAGTATAAAGAATGATTATACAAGCTTCAAGGATGATTCTATAAACATGATCCATGATTCTATAAGCCAAAAGAGTGATTCTACAAGTCTGAGAATGACTCTACATGTATAAAGTGATTTTACTACTTTAAGGAATTATTCTATAACTTTATAGGGTGATTCTAACTCTAAGGAATCATTCTCTGCGATTTAATAACTTTGTGTTGATTCTTAACACAAGGGAGAGATATTTTAACTCAATCTTCGTGTCTGTTGTGATTGTGTTAATTTTAGCATTTAGAACAATAATAGTCGTCTTGTGTTATATTGTATGAACTAATATTAATATTTTGTGATAGTCAAGATTAGTTTTAACACTAATGTTAACTAAAATTAACATTAAATACGTCGTAATACAAGTTAGCAGCATTTGAAAACAGTTTTGTGTATTATATTATCATGTAAGCTCCGCCTATTTATAGCGTCCTTAACAACCGATGCAGACCGTAAATTATGATTGGCTCCTGGTTGCTAGGTGAAGACTTGCCATGTCAATAAATTCTGTCCTATTTTCTTTTAAAATTCAATGTATCGATATTTATCAGCTTCTTATATTTAATTAACTTCTATATAATATAATTATTAAAAATATTGTATATATTACGTAAAATGCTGAAAAAGAGAATGACTAAATTTATTGATGTGGCACGTTTATAACTTAGCAACCACCACCAATCAATTTCTTTTAATTACATTAGTGCTAAAAGTGGGCGGGATTCATCTGATGTAAACAGAGTTAAAAAAATATTATGTATATCTATGTACTGTATTGTAACAGAGAAGGGTTACTCATCCATGTATATACACTGCATTGTCACCTTTATCTACATGACTTACTTCATACTACCCAAACCACTAGTTAACCTGCAGTCAACTAGTGGGCACACGAGTTATGAGATGGCTGCTAATTGGTGTAAAACCATCGCCTGCTTTTGGGAGCGTCATCTATGACAGGTGACGTCTACCCTAACTCTGGGGTTGTTCCAGGACAGTCATACTCCCCTCACCTCGGCCGCTTGTTCTCCCTGCTTACTGTGTCGTGAAGATTGAGGAACTGTTACCTACACTATCTATGCACCGCGGAATCTACTGGCCAGCTATTTGTAACATGTACACCATGTATAAGTACAGCTGAGTACATTATTTTTCACCCTTTTTTATGTGTTTTGTGTTGATTTTGTTTCAAGAAAATTATATAAAATCTCTTGCATATTTTTCCGTCGCCCCACTATTTATAATGTGTTGGGTGTTATGTCAACCATGAGTGGTGTCAAATATTCAATTAAGCCAAGTAGTAAGATAATAACTAAACCTACAGTGAAATTTATTTAATAGAAAAGTTCAAAATACAAACAGATTGTTATTTGTTACGTAATTGGGCATGAGTATTAAAAGGTATTATAATTAAATAATTTCCGTCAAAAAGTCCCTAAACACAAACAGGTAAAGAAATCATTTATATTTTGAGATTAAGATAAAAGTAAAAGTTAAAGTAAAGTAACTTAAGACACTTGCCTTCTTGATTGCTCAGTTTCCGTAACAGTATTAACTATATGTGATATTATTATAGTACTCCTATATGTAGAACACCTAAAATATTATGTAGATGTATTAAATAAAAGTGATATGGATATTCCTATGTGTAGAAACTAAAATATTATGTATTTCTGTATGTATAAAGATGTATTTTCCAACGTATTTGTGTATGTATTTTGCACTGAATTTATAAATAAAGTGCAGTTCTGAGCAACACCTACGAGTTTGTGTATACTGTACCTGTAATAATACAACACCGTATATACACAACATAATGTATTAATATAACGCTTTATGTCAAGAAAAGGACCTGTAGTGGACGTCTCCCCTACAAACTGCGTATCGCATTCCAATGTGCCGCCTCCCCAGCAACCAAGCGAGAGCTGTCCCCAGATGTTACCATATCTTAGCAACGAAACTAGTCACCGGCTACTTCTCGGGTTTTCCCAACATGACTCATAGAGGACTGGCGGCTGCTGCTGGGTGTATATAAGCTCTGTCTCTCCCTTGAGATTCAGTCTGACCAATCTTCTTGAACAAGCAACACCTCCTCCTCTGCCGCTGCCTGGCGACCCTCGCCTCTCCTCCTCCTGCCTGGCGGTCCTCGCTCCCGCCAGCGAGCATGTCCTTCTCTGAGCTTCCTCACCAACCAACTCTCATTCTGCCCATTTTCCTGAACAAGCAACATCTCCTCCAGCAAGCTCCACGCTGTTAACATTTCATTCAACCTGGAGGCCAGCAACAGGCAACACCTTCTCTAACGAAGCTCCTGCACATCTACCTCCTTCAACACGATACTCCCGAACGTCTTCTACTGAGCTGCTCCCCACCACACGGCATCTCCAGCACCAGACTGTCTATCATATAACTTATATATATTATATAAGAAAACCACATTAGAGTTTCCTTCCATCCTGAGTGCTAGACAACTTTAATATCTCGATACCCCTACAATGGTGACTCCCGGAGATTAGCACTCACACAGGATGGAGGAGACACTGATCACGCTCCCAGTCTTCAAGCAGACACCGGCTCCTCTTCCTGCCTCACGCACCACATTCTGACGACCCCAGCACACCCGTCCTTCCTCAGACGCCGACCCCGGCCCAGCAGTAACCCCTGACGCGGCCTCTGTTCCTGAATCCAGACCCACACACACCCCTCTTTTCTCCCTCAGGTACTCCCTGCTAATGTCCTGCACCCTGCTGCTGTCGTGGACCCAGCTGCTGTCACGAGCCCTCATCCGCTTCTGCTGACACAGCCCCTGCTCCTGACCCAGGCCCACACACACCCCAGCAGGCGCATCTGACGACCCTGTACCTGTCGTGAGGGAAGAACACCAATCATCGCCTCCACACACCCTTTTTCTCCCTTCTCCCACAGATAGTGTGTATCTAGACAGTTGTATTTCAGCGATCGGCTCATCACGCCATCGCCGTTGTCTCACATGAGGCATGCACCGCCCGGTCTTCCTCACATGTGCTAAGCAACTCTACAAACAACAAGTCTCCTACACCGCCTGGAGGGGAGGGGGAGTATTGTAGTGGACGTCTCCCCTACAAACTGCGTATCGCATTCCAATGTGCCGCCTCCCCTAGCAACCAAGCGAGAGCTGTCCCCAGATGTTACCGTATCTTAGCAACGGAACTAGTCACCGGCTACTTCTCGGGTTTTCCCAACATGACTCATAGAGGACTGGCGGCTGCTGCTGGGTGTATATAAGCTCTGTCTCTCCCTTGAGATTCAGTCTGACCAATCTTCTTGAACAAGCAACACCTCCTCCTCTGCCGCTGCCTGGCGACCCTCGCCTCTCCTCCGCCTGCCTGGCGGTCCTCGCTCCCGCCAGCGAGCATGTCCTTCTCTGAGCTTCCTCACCAACCAACTCTCATTCTGCCCATTTTCCTGAACAAGCAACATCTCCTCCAGCAAGCTCCACGCTGTTAACATTTCATTCAACCAGGAGGCCAGCAACAGGCAACACCTTCTCTAACGAAGCTCCTGCACATCTACCTCCTTCAACACGATACTCACCGAACGTCTTCTACTGAGCTGCTCCCCACCACACGGCATCTCCAGCACCAGACTGTCTATCATATAACTTATATATATTATATAAGAAAACCACATTAGAGTTTCCTTCCATCCTGAGTGCTAGACAACATTAATATCTCGATACCCCTACAGACCCAAATCAACGTATGTAATCTCTCATACAACTGCAATCTGCATCACAACTATTGTTAGTAATACAAGATAAAGTTACTTTATATAGACTACAAAAATACATAAATTACAAAAAATACGAGAGAGAGAGAGATTGACTGGAAGGAATGAAAGTGGATATTCTTAGATTGGAATGTAAGGGAGGGAGGGAAGTAGAGTTGGACGGAAAGAGTGAAAGGAGGAATTGAAGGAAAGAAAGATGGAGGGAGGGAGGTAGTGAGTGAGGGAGGTGGTGAGTGAGGGAGGGAGGAACTGAGGGAAGGAGATAGTGAGGGAGGGAGGGAGGGAGGTAGTGTGGGAGGGAAGGGATATAGGGAGGGAGGGATGGACAGGAATGTGTATCTAAGCAGAGTTGCCAAGGCAGCCAAGGTTAGTAGTAGCAAGGTGAAGATCAATACTTGGCAACGCTGAGCTTGAGTTAGCGTATGTGGGTATTGAACGCGCATGTGTGTGTTTGTGTGTATGTGTTATGCTTCTTAACCTTAAACATTGGGTGTTTATTGTGGTTATTGTGTTGGTGACAGCTTCTACACCTTAAAACCCAACATACACCGACATTCACCAACAATACACCGACATACACCAACAATACACCAACAATACCTCCAACATACACCAACAATACACCAACAATACCTCCAACATACACTAACATACACCAACAATACACCAACATACACCAACAATACACCAACATTCATCAACACTACACCATCATACACCATCATACACCAACAATATACCAACATACACCAACATATACTAACATACACCAACAATACACCAACATACACCAACATACGCCAACATACACCAACAATAAACCATCATACACCAACAATACACTAACATACATGAACAAACACTATCATACACCAACATACACCAACAATACACCAACAATAGACCGGGTAAGGGTCACTGGCCGCAAGACGTAATAGCATTTAATAATGCAATGTGTGGGCAGTGTTATGGCTTAGTCAATGGAGGGGTGAGTGACCCTAGATAGATAGATGGATGGATAGATAGATAGATAGATAGATAGATAGATAGATAGATAGATAATAGGCAGCTACCAAACAGGGAGGTACTACCGTCTGGAAAGATATAGGAAGCATAATGTGTTGTCTAATGGTAGACCCTGCTGCCATATGGCATCACGAAAATTGTGACCAAGTCCCAGGTTGCTGATCTATCTTTCTGCCTCATTTAAACACAATTGCAGGGTCTCAATTGTTTCTCTTACCACTGGCAAGAAAACATACTGTACTTTACATACCCCTGCATAATGTATCGCACTTTTGATTTTTTTTT